TTTGATGTTACAGCTTATTACAGAATTATTATAACGTAACTTACAAACGCAATTATTACTGACATACAGTACTTGTAGAGTACAAGAGAGTTAAAAATGTTATATAAAAAAATGTATTTTTTTTTTTTCAAAAAAAAAATAAAAAAAAATGATAAAACATTGAAAAGTTCTCCTGTTATACCCCAGCATGTGCTGCTTTGCTTCACAGGCTGCTGGCCCTTTAAGAAGATAAGCACGCTGAACACCTCCCCCTGTTGGAGGCTGACAGCGCTGTGAACTTGACCTGAGCTGACCCTCTTTCTCCCACCCCTCCCAAATTTCCGCTGCCAGAGCACTGGAGCACATTCCAGCTCCTCAGTGTTTACTGAACATGTGTATGTGTGTGCGTGCGTGCGCGTGCACGTGTGTGTTTGCTGCATCTTCCTGCTTGGCTGACTAATAGTGCATTCTCACATGTAAAACAAATGGATAGAGAGTCTATAGGTTTTAGTGCCTCTTTGTTCACCGAACACGAAGGCCAGGATACCGGGGCCTGGAGACTGAGCCACGGCTTGATATCTGGCACAGATGGCTCCAGTGCCACCAAAACCAACCGTGTCTTCTGGTTCGCTCAAACCACCATCCTGTTTGTTTTGACAAGTGAAATATTTATTGTCCCAGCAAAACCTTCAGAGCTTGAGAGTTATAAAAAAAAGATCAGAGGAGGACTGGGGCACAAGCCAGGTCATGTGACCCTGCTGGAAACCGATACGGCTTAAACTGAGAGCTAGATAAATCGTATATCTCTAATGAGGCTGGTAGCCTAATCTTTCAAAAATGTAATTAATTTGATCATCTTTCGAGGGAGCCGTTTCACCCCGAGAGACTTGCGGTTAAATCGTTTTGCGAAGCGAATAGTCTGTTGAATGAGAGAAGGAGGGCAGTAAGAGTAATGGCCACTGTTTCTCGATCTGGCCGCCATGCGGGACCCCCGCCCCACCCTGCTCTTCGCTCCATTAGCAAAGATACCGAAACAGAGCTGAAAGTTTCAGCGCGCACACACACTAATACGCACAGCTGCTGCTGCAGAAACACTGCCGGCCCTGTTCAACTTCACCGAGATGAATGGAATTTGAGCATGCCTTGCAAGTGAAAGATGGCCCTGTGCCTTTAAGCGCAAATGCTGACTGTATGCCTCTTTTACTCTCGCCTTTCTTTCAGCCACTCCCCCTTTTTCTTTTCCTTGCACTCCCTCTCCTTCTCTCTCTGTGGTGCTGCCATTAGTAGAAGTGAGGGTGAATGGACAGTTCCTTATCGGACTGTTTACAACAAGGAGTTTGTAGGCTATTAGGCAGGTCAGGTGACATGCAGGCTGCCTGTCTGACCCAGACAACTGAGGGTGAAGGTCGCCTGAGGGGGCGGAGAGAAAAAAGGGGCGGAAAAGAGAAAGAACGAGAGAGTAAGGGAGTGAAAGACAGAGAAAAAAAGGCAGGCTGCAACCGTAGATTTTCAAATGCTTGGCAAGCATTTCTATCCTTCTACAGCACTCATGCTGATGTGATATTGTTTTTATACAACAAATGACTAATAAAAGTTTTTAGTTCCTAAAAACTTAAAGAGCTAAAGAATCAAACAGACTGGAACACAATATGTGAGTGGAATGGTGTGACATCTATTTAATAAATAAACTACCGTTTTAAAGATTTAGATGTATTATAAGTAAATGCTGTTATTTTGAACTTTTCATTCATCAAAGAATACTGGAAAAAAAAACACTGAAATAAATGTAATATGCTTTCCAGAAAAGTACTAAGCAGAACAACTGATTTCCACATTAATAAAAAGTTACTTGAGCACCAAATCAGCTTATTAGAATGATTCCTGAAGGATCATGTGACACTGAAGACTGGAGTAATGGCTGCAGAAAATTCAGCTTTGCCATGACAGGAATAAATTACATTTAAAAAAATATATTATAATTTTTGATTTAATAATTGCAGCCTTGGTGAGACTTCTTTCGAAAAACTTTTGAGCGATTCTGTACTCGGGTCTGTATCACTGCAAACACAAGTGAAGTGATACAAATGGTAAAAAGTTGTTGGACTGTTTATCATATTTGAGGACCGGAACTAACTGCAGTATAAAGAGTTTTGAGAGTCAATCAATTCCATTTACATGCCTGATTGGTATGCATATATTTAAGGTGCACAAACACAAGACTCTTCTGTATAGATTTAGAGTACAATGAAAAAGAGAATACACAATTCCAACACCATTGAGACCTGGTAATTTAATAAAAGTTTGGAACACAATCTAGCACAGAGGGAATTTGAGAGAGATCGCAACATTCACACATAGGCCAACTTAGAACGTCGAGTCACTCTAACTGCTGCTGCACTGAACACACACACACACACACACTTTATCATCCTGTCACATTGACCACTCAACTGAACTTATATGCATTGCACATCCTCAACATACACACACCATGCTGTCACAGAGACTGAGCATCTTATACTTCTACAGAATTATTTCTGAATTACAGTGAACGGTTTTACTTTAAAGTTATATTTATAACTTCTATATAGTGTCTATAGACATCATCTGTGCCATGCTGTTAATTACCACAGAAAATAATGTTGACTCATGCTTTACTCATACTGGTTTTCAAAAACAAACGGAAAATGCATTTACAGTTATACATATACAACGGAAGCTTAGGGAGAGCATAAATGTGAAGTTTGTCGTTGAGTTCAAGAAATTTGCAGTAAAAATGGTTGTTGATTAAGCCGTTAAATTGCCTGAATCATCTTTCTGAGGTCTGACTACTTTTCTAGGTGGATGAACTTCTGGTTACGGCTTATCAGTTTGAGTCCAGTGGCTGGAGTTTGCTTTATGGATAAATACAGCATATTCTTTCCAGGTTGCTTACTGGCATTCTCGTGCAGATACCAAGTTACTAAGTTTACATTCAGTTTATTAAAGTTATTATTAAATTTATACATTTATTAAATTCATATATTTGAAACAATGTGCAAGGTTGTTTATTTGGCTTTAACTGTTATAAGTTCATTTTTACAAACATTTTTTTTTTTTAAACAATGATTAAATTGGTAAGATTTTTATTTTTGTAAATGGTCTCTTGGTCGCAAACCAAGGCTGCATTTATTTAAAAAATACAGTAAAAACAGTAATATTTTGAAATATTACAAATTTAAAATAATGTTTTCTCTGAATACATTCTAAAAAGTAATTTATTTCTATGACGGCTAAGCTGAATTTTCAGCAGCCATTACTTCAGTCTTCATTGTCATACGATGCTTCATAAATCATTCCTAATATGCTGATTTTGTGCTCAATAAAAATTTATTATTATTTTTTATGATTATTTGAATTAAAAATATTTTTAAAAAGCATTTGTCTGTTTTTTAACATTATAAATGTATTTACTGTCACTTTTGATCAATTTATCAAATAAAATCTTACAGACTGCAAAGTTTTGAATGACAGTGTATATAAAAATATAGAAATTCTGTGTTTATTTGAAGTTTATCTCTGTATAATTATGTATCCTTTGAATACAAAATGATTATCAGTGTTTCCTCTAGGATTTTTTTCCAGCCGTGGTGGCAGGCCCATTTCGGCGTGGCCCATGAGTGATATTCCCATTGGCCACGCCCCCTTATCCCAGGTGTTTAAACCTCCCCTAAGCGATTATGCACATCCCATGCGCAGAATGATGCACTTGAAGCAACGCGAAGTCACAGCGTGCAGCGCTTCGCATTGAAAAGTTCAAAGCACAAAGCGAAGATATTATATCTATCTATGCTTAATGTATTATACCTATGCAACAGTTTATTGAGCCTTTTTTTTTTAACAGTTTTAAATTTCAGTTAACTTACATGAAGCATGAAGAACAATTCATAGTGCTCTCTACTCTAGTGCTGTAGTAACAGACACCCGGGAGAAAGGAATATGATTTAGAAAGCGCAATAAACTCCAGCAAGATAAAGTAATTTTATGCAAACTATAGACCTTTATCTACAGATAAAGTATAATAATGGGAACATTGATCTTGAAGAGAGTGTCGTCGTGTTACTGTCGTAACCGAACGTGACGTGCTGTTTGAATGCCGAATGGAGAATGACTGAGGAGAGATGAGTTTCCATTAACTTTAACTTAACGACTTAAATATAAATTTTTACCTCACATTATGCTATTGAATGACTTTAGAAGTCTTGGAATATAGTGCGAAAACTTTATGGTGCTTTACAATGTTTTGTATGCCTTTAGTGGGGCTTAACAATAACACATACAATATCGGACCGAGAAGCTGCAGCCGTGGCGGGATGATTTTAGGTGTGGCGGCCCGCCACGGCAGAATGAATGTAGCGGAAACACTGATTATGGTTTCATACTTCAGCAGATGATTCACAGATGATGAATACAGGTTAAATAGTACATCAGCTCATGTATCCCAACAGCTTTCATAAAAGTTCTATTTCAACAAAAAACATTTAGTAACTTGAAACACATCTATCTGCCTGTCAGAGCAGACCCACTTATTTTAAATGATTTACAGTGTTTGGCTCTGCTTATGTTTTAAACTCCCTTTCAGTCTCTCTGATTAAAACCAACTTCCCGTCGGTGATTCTGACAGTACAGCTCTGCTTTGAAAAAAGTCGACTAGTGCGGTGCCTCACGGTGTATTCTGTGGCCTGCAAGCCAAAGCTGCACTAAAATTTTGGCGCTCCTGGTACCAAGCAGCACAGGATGATGAGTCAACAGCTTTCTCAGAAAAACGAGCCAGAGCATCTTTCTGTGATTTACGCCACATACCAAACTGCCACTCAACAAACTTAAGTTTTCTCTGTACCTCTGCACAACAGGACTTCCCAGTACTGTCATCACGGTTCAGCGGAAGCGTAGTTCTGAGAACCATCCTCTCCCCCAGGTACTGGCGAGGATTTGTTCACATGCGCAAAACCAATGTTAGTGTAGCAGGTGTGCAAACTCACCTCTCTCCTGCACAAAGTAGGCGAGGTAGAGGTCCAGCTCTTTGACGGACACGCTGATGTGATGGGGCTGGACGCAGAGAATGGGATTGGAGCACTGGCCACCTTTGACCAGCCGTTCCCCGTCCGTGCTCTCCAGCGGGATGCCCTTGAACAGAATCACCATCACCAAGTCCAGACGCCAGACCTTATCCGCCTGACGCAGGCAATCTATGCGCCTCATCTTCCCCTTCTGGTCTGGGTTCGAGAGGACACAACACGGAGGCTTCTTCCCTGTGATGGACAGCACAAAGTCCTCCCGACACTCCGGCCGGATGTCCTTGCGGAGCTTTGCGAGGAGGCGTGACGCCCACTTCTGTTTGACCTCGGGCTTCTCACCCAAGAGCTCGTCCTTGACGGCGCGCTCTTCATCCTTGGTCATCCGCTTCTCGTGCTTTTTGAAATATTTGCGCTTGCGGGCCTGCAGGTTGAACCAGGTGTAGGCGAAGGCACGCACGTGCGGCAGCAGCGCCTCGATGAACGGATGGAATTCATCCTGGAAAAGAACAGCAAAAGACGAGTTATTCATTGTGTTGTTTACTCATTGTGTTGTCTGACAAGCAAAAGCCACATCTGCAGTTCAATTCGAGTACAAAGAGGAAATGAATCATCTTGGCTCCTTTCTGTATTGACGCATTTATTGAAATGTGTTTTTTCCCTTTCGCTGTTGTTTACCAAAACAGAAAACGTAAATTCCAGATTTAATTTTGTCTTTTAAAAAAGTCTCAATGATATTCAACAGATTTCACAGTTAATTGTGTTGAGTTTTCTATCGCACCCACCCACAGTCCTCCATTGTTTCCATCTTTTGCCGAAGCCCCATGTGCAGTCATCATTCATCCAATTATGTTTTGTTGACTATTTTCACTTTCAGTGGTAAGTTTTCAACAACAACAACACACACAGATGTACCTCCCAGGCACGTCGCAGACCGCAGTCTCTTAACCGTTTAGTGCGGCATTCATTTGGTCTGACTAATTACTTCCATATTTGACCATTTCTAAACCCCTAAACTAGCACCAGACCGTGCTATAAATGTTACTAAAACCCCAACCGAACATTAAACATGCGCATCTATCAATTATCATTAACAAGACTCGAAGCTCTGTGCGCACTGCCGTGACCATTTGTGCATGTGTGTGCATAAAACAGTCATAATGAGAGCGCTGCTTTACAGTTCTGTGATAATCATCAGCCAGAAAAATCCCCACATGCGAATGAAGCTGTTCAATAGGAGGGTTTTGCGCTTATGGCAAAGTAATGAAACTCAGAATCAAGCTGAATGATGTCAGCTGTTGCATCAATATAGCATGACATAGTTACCAGTGTGTCACTTCTGCTTAGGCACAATGCAACCACAGAGAGAGAGAAATGGCCAAGGGCTGCTTGGCCGCAGTAATTCAAACAGGGAGAAATAAAGAAAAAAAGAAAGAGAAATCACAGAGCTCCCCGGTCTGGTTGTGCTGCGAGCACTGAGCAGGTTTTAAAGGAACATAATGAGACGTGACTTCGGCACGCTGTGGATCTCATGCGATAAGCCAGTTCTACAGCTTACGGCAGCGAAAGGCTCTTACACTACTACAGCTGCTTCACAGAAACCATCTCCTGAAACACCAGAACATTTACTGTCTTAACCTAAAACATTCCTTTCCTTAAACACCTACCTCAAGACACAACCCTCAAGATCTCAACTGGCAGGCCATGAGCCAAAAATAAACCTTAGGCATGTTCTGATAGGCCATGGACAGCAGCGGGGGTAAAAAAAACAATGCTTTATGCAAATAATAAATGCAACTAGTCAAAATCATGCATTTAGGATAGCATTTCAAAAATAGTACAGTTGGACACAAATCATGACAACCATGAACAATCCTACTTAAGATAAATGAAAAAAAATACAACCCAGACTATGTTGATATCCTTGCTTCAAGGGAAAAAAGGAATTATTATAATAATTATTAATATTTTAAATAATTATAATTATAATAATGTATTCCTTTTTCCCTTGATGAATATAAATGAATAAAAATGTATTAACAATTTTACTTAATTTTGTATGAGGATTTGAGAGACATTTCTGTTTATTACAATGCTTTACCAATACATGTTGTGGGGGAAAAAACAGCCCCAAATATCCTTGAATCTAATCACAAATGATGTTTTGAGCAGAATATAGTTTCTAGTGCAACATTTTGAAAGGACCCAATTTGCATATGTAACTTATTCAGACACGGAGAGCACAAAAACTGACTGCCCTGTCCTTGTGCAGCTTTTTACATAATTTTTTTAACCCAATAGCAACAGCAGGGCAATTTTTTTTTTATTTCCAGCTATTTAAATTTTTGAACCGGGACAAGCTGAAAGCAAACAGGGTGCAAAAATTGGAAGGTTGAGAGGCCTGCAGACTCACTGTACACTCACATCTGTAATCAGCCGACTCTGAACCGTCGGAACTGATACAGTTTCTGAGTAAACTTTACAAAGATTTACAAAGAAAGAAAGAAAGAAAGAATAAATGAATGAATATGGGAAGTTAAGGCTGACAAAAAACAGAGAACCAAGCTGTACAAACAGACACAAGATACGATGTCCAAAAAACTGCTAAACCCTCCCCAGGTTCAACTGCACGTGTTTAGAGAAACGGTAGGGTCGTTTTATTTAGCTGTGTTAATGTCCAAAATAGTTTGACCCAAAATAGTTTTCCAAACTAAATTTGGATCCATTGAACAAATTTTCAAACGGACATTCTGGCTTGAGAGCTCAGTGAAGTCTGGACACAATTTGCACCCAGTGACAACGGAAATTTCCAGGAAGGAAACGCCAGGAGGAAATAGTGATTTCAGGAATAGAGGGGGGATTAGAGATGGGCCTGTTTCCCTGCAAACATGTGTGGACGTATTTTCTTCTTTTTAGAGCTCCTTTCATTGATTGCTCTAGCTTCAGCACCAACCACTCCAGCAAAAATAAACATTTGTTGGGCATTTTCTCCTTTCCGCAGCCTTGGAAAAAAGGCAGGTCAGATGAGGCCCAAACCAGGATAAAGCACACATAGGACTGGGAAACTGGGTAATTTCTGCATCACTAGTGTCGCTAAACAGAATTGCAAACAGGTTTCCTGATCACAACCAAAATTATAAATCACAGTACGACGAAGGACCACTTCTGCAATAAAATAAAATAACTGAAGAAATAATTAATTACTAAACAAATAAATGTGTACAAATACATATATATATACATATACCATGGTCTGTCTGAATACTCAATTCTGATTGGCTGGAAGGTGTGCAATAAAACGGTTTAATGCACAGGTAGTGCCAAGTCAATTTAATCACCGTTCTATATTAAGCGCACGCAATCATACGTCACTCACACACAGAGAGCAGAGATTGCGCTGCGCACACACAGAAACTTGTTATCAACGCTGCCCCGTGACTTTTATTACTAAAATAGCTTCGCTACTGAAATGCTACATTATATTTTCCTGCAATGAGGGGGTAATATTGCTGGTTTTAAAGTAATTAAACTCCTAGCTTCGTTGTTAATAGAGAGAGAGACAGGTAATTCACGCACACACATCTCTTAAATTAAAACCAAACACTGAATAAAATTTAATTCTGATTAGATGAGTCACATTTAAAGCTGCTGTTAAAGTGATAATATATTAACATGTCACAGTACATCAGTTGAATTTTGTATTTATGTGGCAAGTTATACATGATTAGCTATATAAATCATAAAATAAAGTTTTTTAAATATTTTTTTAAATATTAGGTTTCAAATAACTAGCCACAATGCACAAGAAGAGGAACAACTTTTAATTAAGAGGTTTCTGACTATTTTGGTAGTAATTTTGTATTACTTTCTGTGTCGCTAACGTGTACATACATTGAAACATCTGCAATATACACTCACCTAAAGGATTATTAGGAAGGAACACCATACTAATACTGTGTTTGACCCCCTTTCGCCTTCAGAACTGCCTTAAAGGACAACTCCGGTGCAAAATGAACCTCGGGTGTAATAACACATTGGTACAGACTAAATCGTTCCCTGAGATTTGTTTTCATGATAATCGAATGTAAAGAGTTTTATCTCTAAAAACAGTTAAGCTTATAACGCTAGTATATTGGGCATCGAGTAAGCAAAAAGAGATCGCTAGTTAATACCATTAACAAGGCTCAAATTAGCCCCACACTAACACGGCAGCATAATGAGTGTCCTTACATGCAAACCGAAGCATTGAGAACTTTGTAAGTGTATAGACAGTTTAATAAGAAGATACTTTACACAGACAGTACAGTTAGCGCATACAGACAGCAGCCATCTTGGAAAGCAGCCTCGATCAGTCAAACCACGAACACGGTGATACGTGAGCTGAACTGTGACTTGGAATCTCATATGGTCCGTTGTTTCCGGAAGAAAGCACTGAGCGCATAAGAGAAGCACTGAACGCAACAGAGAAAATAAAAAAATAAATATAATTTATCTTATCTTCAATATCTACACGTACTGTTCGCTCACCTTCGTGGTTCGATTGATCGAGGCTGCTTTCCAAGATGGCTGCTGTCTGTATGCGCTAACTGTACTGTCTGTGTAAAGTATCTTCTTATTAAACTGTCTATACACTTACAAAGTTCTCAATGCTTCGGTTTGCATGTAAGGACACTCATTATGCTGCCGTGTTAGTGTGGGGCTAATTTGAGCCTTGTTAATGGTATTAACTAGCGATCTCTTTTTGCTTACTCGATGCCCAATATACTAGCGTTATAAGCTTAACTGTTTTTAGAGATAAAACTCTTTATATTCGATTATCATTAAAAAAAAACTCAGGGAACGATTTAGTCTGTACCAATGTGTTATTACACCCGAGGTTCATTTTGCGCCGGAGTTGTCCTTTAATTCTACGTGGCATTGATTCAACAAGGTGCTGAAAGCATTCTTTAGAATATGAGATTTGTGGGATGCACATCCAGGGCACGAAGCTCCCGTTCCACCACATCCCAAAGATGCTCTATTGGGTTGAGATCTGGTGACTGTGGGGGCCATTTTAGTGCAGTGAACTCATTGTCATGTTCAAGAAACCAATTTGAAATGATTCGAGCTTTGTGACATGGTGCATTATCCTGCTGGAAGTAGCCATCAGAGGATGGGTACATGGTGGCCATAAAGGGATGGACATGGTCAGAAACAATGCTCAGGTAGGCCGTGGCATTTAAACGATGCCCAATTGGCACTAAGGGGCCTAAAGTGTGCCAAGAAAACATCCCCCACACCATTACACCAACACCACCAGCCTGTACAGTGGCAACAAGGCATGATGGATCCATGTTCTCATTCTGTTTACGCCAAATTCTGACTCTACAATCTGAATGTCTCAACAGAAATCGAGACTCATCAGACCAGGCAACATTTTTCCAGTCTTCAACTGTCCTATTTTGGTGAGCTCTTGCAAATTGTAGCCTCTTTTTCCTATTTGTAGTGGAGATGAGTGGT